GCCCATTGTGTAGCTTTGTGCTTAATTAGAACTAAACATACCGACACGAGGGAGTTCACATTAAAACATAATATTTTCAATGTATATTTATCTTAAATATAAAGCCATTAATACCTAAGTTCTGTAATATGTATAATTTAAGAATATGTAAGTTAACACCTACGTAATGAATTTTCTGAGTTTAGAGGAAATTACAAATTGTGTAACAGCGTAGTCTTTTCTATTAATTAACAGATACGAAGTACAATTATAGCGTTATGGGCTTTTCACATCATAAGAAAGTATTATGTCAAATGATTAGATGGGTGTTTGAAAGTTTTATTTTTTTTTAGTTTCAGATATATTCATGCTAGTTTGAGTCGGTACATATATTTTTGCATTGAACTAGAAGCGTTATGGTTGTGTGTGCTATGAGAAATTTTAGAAAGTACTCTGTCAGGTATGACAATAGAAACAAAACAAAGTTACAAAGTAAAAACATGAACCACGTTCCTCCATGTTAACTTGGCGTCATCGTGAATCATTGTAGTCATGAAGCCATGTTAACCTGAGGAAACGTTGTTCACGTTTTTAACGTTTTAATAAGTAGAGTATACTATTATAATGTTTTCAGAAAGGAGGTTTTCCTTTATAAACGTATAAAACAATTACGACGTATTTAACTGAATTAGAATAGACTTTATATAGTAACCTAAATTAGCTAAAGGGTTAAGCTCCCTAACAGTTAATGAAAATCCTTTCAACAATTCAAGTTACCATGGATCCCGGTAATAAAAGCACCAGTAATAGTGCCAAATCGAAAAAAAAGTATCATTTTTTTTTCATCCCGAAACAAAAATAAAACAATGCATGTTTATGATTTTTACGTTGGTCTATTAATTTTGTTTTTCACACTTTGCATCATTTATGGTGCTTTTTTTTTTCTCAGTTTCATTTGTGCCCCGATTTGAATTATTACTGATATCATTATTTTCAACGTTTTTTTATTTTTCTTACCGGTTACCACATTAAAGACTTTCCTTAATTCAGGAATATTTAAGAATATTTTCAATATACTTCTTTCTATAGATAAAAACGTCAAACAGAAAAGAATCTTTTCAAAATCACCTCCGTATGTTGTTAAATAAAAGTATCTTAAAATTAGATTGTTAAAATTTGTGATTCCTCCCAGATCATTTGATGACATGATCAGACAGATCAAGACATGGTGATCAACATTCTCATCTTCTCTACTCTATTTCACAGCTTTTTCTCAACCTTGGCAATTTTTTATTTTTTTAAATTGTGAAATATTCATAATTCCTGTTACGTTTCAAAACTGTTTGAGGCGCAGCTTCTTCCAAGAATGTTAAGAAATCTAATAATGTTTAATATTACGTATTTCACGTTCTACAGTTCACGAACGTTCACTAGATAGCTGAAATTCTTACTTCCTATTCCCATACTTCCTTATAAAACTTTTTTTTAAAAAGTGCTGGAAGTTGTTTGTGGTTGACAAATTCACGTTTATATCTTTCGGTACAACAGGAGTTAGTCTTCATGACGTATGAGCGTATAAAAGACAATAATATACGATTATCAAGAGACTTCCATAAAACCACTTATAGTTAACTTAATATTTCAAGAAGCAATAATATTGTTCAAACATATTTTTAGGAAGAGTATTGCAGATTTCCTTTTTAACCAAAAGTTAAAAAAGTAAAAAAATAATGTGTGATGACTAGGCCTAACGTATTCCATGACTGGCCGCACTTTCTGCTATGGACAGCAGTCTCGCCTATTCCAGGCTTATCAGCACAGCTTGGGTCAGCACACCTCTTATAATTGTGATTTTTATGTAACGTTTATGGAGTTTTTAAGTCCTTTTTAATTCGCCATGGTGAGTTATTAAGAACTCAAAAACCCCATAAGTATTAAATACTGCATTCAGTTGTAGTTTTAGGTTGTTTCACTTGTTCTTTAAAAATTTCGTAGTTGACAGTGGTATCCTATTGTCTTTAAACTACAGTAAACAATAGATTTAAATACTACGTAAGCAATATTGCTTTCGCCAATAACATCCGTTTTTCAATTCTAAACAATAGGTTTAAATACTACTCAAACAATATTGTTTTCGCCAATAACATCCGTTTTTCACTTCTAAACAATAGGTTTAAATACTACTCAAACAATATTGTTTTCGCCAATAACATCCGTTTTTCAATTCTAAACAATAGGTTTAAATACTACTCAAACAATATTGTTTTCGCCAGTAACATCCGTTTTTCAATTCTAATTTAGTTAACCGTATTAATTTTACTCAGCACCTCAAATACTGGGGGACATTACTAGAAGATGTAACTTACTGATCTCAAAAACAAAAGCTACTTTAATTGCCCCGGAAAAGAGAGAAGAGCATAACATCATTTCATAGCAAGCTTGGGCTACAAATAAAGTATTGTTGAATAGTATTTTTTCTATGGTATAGTACTTTACAGCGCTAGTAGTTACTCCAGGTGCGTAACTAGAGGAGAGGGTGTCGAATGACTACCATTGTATTCCAAAAAAACCCTGAAAGGTCTAACATATTCTGATTTTAAAAAATAACACTTGAATTTCATGTAAATAACTTAAATTTTCTGTGTAGAAGAAAAGGTCCACATTTTTTTGTTAAAGACGCCACACACACACATACTATGTAGTTCTGGCTACGCCCCCAAGTACGCTACGTTGAACGATTGTTAATCTATAGCTGGTGTGCTTTGGGAAAAGATATATTCATGTTAACATAAAATATTATTTTCCACATGAGGAAACAAACTCAAACTGGTTTCTCGACTACGAACAGGCCTTGGACGTGAGTAGCAAACATGTTTTTATACTGAGAAGAGAGTTTACAGGCAAGCCAAAAAACTCATATATATATATTGTTACCAACAAAATCTAATACACGGTGTGGTGTACACTCGAAGGTAGAATTAGGTCTTATAAGAGGTGGGATAGTAATATTTTTACATTCCATGAATTGGTTGATTTTATGTATGTACACGCAATGTGTAGGACGTTCGAAATAAACATAAATATTAAGATTGGTTTTGTGAAATTCATCCATTAAAGATAAGGGTGATCTATTATATCTTCTGATCCACTGGAGATAGCGTCCCCATTTGTTTGTGTCAGGAAAATAAAATTTTGATTATTATACAATCTCGCGATCGCTTAAACTTGTAAGACATTTTCGTTCCCCTGCGTTTTTGAAGGTAAATCACTACCTTATTATAATATTCTAAGTTAATATAAACTTCGCTATAACAGCCTCTCCTCCCTCAGGTGGCTCATTGGTATGTATGAGGGATTTTTACGCAAAAAGGCCTGGCATGACTTGGTTAAGACGTTCGACTGGCAACCTGTGGGTCGCAGGTTTGAATCCTATCGTCGAACCTGCTCGTCATTTCAGCCGTTGGAGTATTATAACATAACGGTCAATCCCACTATTTAATGATAGTATCACAGAGTTGGCAGTGGTTGGTATTAAATAGCTGCCTTCCCTCTAGTCCGTCACTTCTAAATTCGATACGGCTAGTGCATCAAATCCTTGAGTAGCTTTACCAAAGAATTATTAAAATATACAAACAAATATAGAAAAACTAAAAGCTGAGTATTATGCATTTACTTCCATAATAGCAGATGAAATACAGTTATTTTGGTCTTCGAAAATAATCAATTCCAATTACGCAAGGCAGCTCAGTCTGGTTACTTATAATTTTGTGTTATCACTCAGTACAGTAGGAAGACCTGAAAGTATTGATTAGTTATTCTTAGACCAGTTTATACTTCGATCATCTGACAGTACCAATGGAAAGTGGCACCGACAAGCTCGGTAGGAACGGGCTATATAAAATAAAGCCAAAGCTTTCAGCAAACTCGATAGCAGCACTTTTTTAGCAAAGAACATGATCATCTTTCAAGACTTTTTCAAAATCATATCCAGAAAATAGGCTTATTTAAGAAGCTGTGTCATTCAAAACGAAATCTCGAAAACATATGTCTTTCATGTCATTTTTTAGTTGACCAGGTGGTTAGGGTGCTCGACTCGCAATCTGTGGGTCG